GCCCAGCATAGTAGACAAGCCAAAAGAATCAAAAGGAAGAACCAAACTAATCAACTTTTTATGAATGTAAATGAGTTATTCACTTTGTCTACGAACATTTCTTGTTGCACGATGTGATATTGGCATATTATATGCCAAGGTCACTCTGACCTCATTGTATGAATGATTCATCATAATCAAGGACTGACCTCCAGACACTAGACAGTAGGACGGCTGAACATAAGTTTGACCATCCAACTAAGCAATTCTTGGAGAACAGGCATAATATGTCCACACCCAGTAGCTCATGAAACTAAGGAGACTGAATATTAGTGAGAAATGATTTGTCATAAATTACATGTTTGAGCGAAGGAGAAGATAAAAGAGATGGTCTCAATTAAGGACATTTCAAGAGTCAATCAGTTTAAAGATCAAATTTTGACTTGGTGTAGAGAATTTATAAAAGACCCCCTTGACACCAAATGAAATCCCTATCCATGATGTTGGACTCTGCTGTAAAAGCAAGATAAATTAAACCCAAGGCTGGTAGAAACCAAAAAGTCCAGTACCATTCATTATTTGATCAGAGGATATATTTAGTCCAATATATCACATCCTCCTCAAAATACCCCTCTCAAATGTGCTTCCTGATCAAGCTGTGAGCTTTTAGACGGAGCGCATTATCGAAATATTTGTAGAGAAGGATGAATTTCAGCCCAATAATTGGATCCTCACATCTTTTATACTTTGTTTATGAGATCTCAACATGCAATATTCAATTAGAGAAATATATTACCGGAAAGCTAAAGGAGGACCTTTACAGCTCTAATATAAGACATCAACTCGGCTATTCTTTTATCAAGTCAACTGGCTCATACAAACTACCTCTCTTGATGATTTCCAGCTCTTACCCTTTCTCGTTCATTTGATTGTGATCTCTTAATCAATGAAGAAACACAAGTTTCTAGTATTTCCTTGAAAAATTGAACATATTGCACTAGCAATCCCGCCATGATTTTCATGATACAACTCATACTTGATCAAAATAAATTAAAATTATCCAAATCTATACCAAAGTTCTTACTATGTCACATGCCTTAAAGTCATGCAAATTAACTCGAACATCTAGAATACAATCAGCTACTTACTCAGGAAGTGGATTACACTTTAAAAACCCGACCAGAGAGACACACAGTGATACAATATAATACATACTACCATTAACAAGGTTAAGCTTATATCCCTCAAAGGGATGCCACAGGCAAGTAACCTCTCATAACTAGACCAGCCCTTAGAAGTATGTTTAGCAAGGGAAATTTCTGCATCCTTTTTTTCTCATCTTTTAGGCTTTAAAGTTGCGTCTTTTACACCAAAGGGCTAAAAAGACCTTACCTTGACCTCATCCACATCAACTGTGAGAAAAGACATATTATGGTACATAGAAGCCAATTCCTCCATAAAGGGTTTCATAGCCACAGAGGGAATACACCAAACAGCCGTAAAGTGTGCCACAATCTACAAATACACACAAGGAAAAAATGAATTTGTACACATACTAGAAACTGGAAACATCAATAAAGATTCCAACTTTTGAGAAACAAAAATCAAGATTTACTTACAGGGCATCCTTGAAGTGTGGCTTGATTTACATGAAAATCCCATGATTCCTTAGAGTCTACCTTCACAACTCTTGATTTAGTCCCCTGTTCTTGAACTTCCATTATTCCTGCTTACAATTGAGAAGGCCAAATTTGTGTTTATCCAAAATAGTTACTAAAGAGATGAAAAAAGGAGGTCTTTTTTTCTAAAAAAAATTAAACCCCACCTTATGAGTTATGCATTTTTGGCTAAGCATTACTGATAGAAGTTTTGGACCTTTCTCGAAGTTTCTTCCTTATCTAGTTTTAATTAATAATGACAAATAGATTAGCCTAGAAATTAATCATTTTTTTTAAAAAAAAAACTTTATGATTGTGCTTTCCTCATCTGATTTTAGTGATGACAACTGGGTTAGGCACAACTGCACAATTATAGTGGTGATTTTTAAGGAATTGCAGTAACATTCTGGAGCACACATAATAAAGAGTAAAAATATCATATAAAATATATATGAAATTTTAGTAATTTTATTGGTTGATTATTTAGACTTTTACTTATTGATAAGGGTTCGATTCCTTAACAAACTTGAGTGGTTGATTTTCAGTTCTACTAAAACTACTTTACGGCTCTATATATAATTGTTGGCTATTGCCTATAAGAACATTAACCAAACTATAAGGATGTCACATGGGCTGACCTGGGTTTGACCCATTAGGGGCCCGAGCTGATTTGCACATATAGAAACTTCAGTGGCACTATTTAAAATTTAGCCTCATTTTTAAAAAGTATAAAAATAATCTTTTCACCAAAAGTAGGAGCAAAATTCTGGTATGTCAGCCAAAAAAAATTACTGTATTTGATATTGAGCAAGTTTTACTTAATAATAATTTATTGTGATCATCATGATTTTGGTCACAACAAATTCTGACAAATTATCATAATTTTAATCACAAGATCTGCCTTAACAAGTTATGGTTATGTTAGAATTTAGTTAGAAATCTTATTGAATTATGGGGAGAATCCTAAATCATCATGAGTTTTTCTCTGAAAATTTTAGAAAAAACCTTTTTGCTTTAAAATTATGCTCCGTTAGGTTTATAGGGGCATGGTTGGGACAAATTATTAACGAATAACAAATATTGAGTTTGCATATTTAAAGGGTATTTTAACCCTTTTCCTCTTATTTTAAGTGATGATATTGTATAGATTTGGCTAAATCTCAAAAGTTTTGTACAGTTTCTTAATCTTCGCATCCTGTTATATGTAAAATTTGAGATAAAGTAATTTGTAACAAGCATAAATTTGGAATTTCCTCCTCTTCACCTTCAATTGGTGGTATGTTGTACGAACATCTTAAAGCCTAAAAGGTGAAAACCTTCTGATAAAGGAACCATATAAGACACCTACACTCAATTTATAACGAAGGGAAGGAATCTCTTTTATGACACTATTAAGTTATTATAGTTCAATGTATAATAGGAGATTAGTGCATCAGACTATTTTTTTTATTCATTCGACAAGCTCTAAAAGGTTCATCAATTTCAACAAATATCTGTCATACATTATGACGTGTACATCCAAAATCTCTTTGGTCCAGGTGTCAAGATGCTACAGCTTGGAAAAGAACCTAATCCAACATGTCAACAATTAAGGCATTGATTGGCTGATGGAATATCCAAAACCAGATAAGGCGATCCTAAGTGTAATCACTCTGCATCACAGACACCAGAAATTGCAATATCCACATCATTCGTACCACAAACATTAACTTATAATTCCCAAACACTTGTAATCACTCTTACCTGAAACATTTTTTCATCACCAAAACAAAAAGGTCCTGAGAAATGGCTCATGCTATGGCTTCTATGGGTGGCCTAATTGGTTCTTCACAAACTGTCTTGGATGGTAGCCTCCAGCTTAGTGGCTCAGCCCGCTTGAGCACTGTCAGCACCACCAGAATTGCCTTGTCTAGACCAGGACTCACTGTCAGAGCCCAACAGGGGTCTGTTGACATCGAAACTAGCCGCAGAGCCATGATTGGTCTTGTTGCTGCTGGCCTAGCTGGTTCCTTTGCTAAATCAGCTTTTGCTGAAGCCAGGTCAATTAAGGTTGGCCCCCCACCTCCTCCCTCTGGTGGATTGCGTAAGTCGTCTGTTTTGCTTTCTTTCTTAGTGATGAATCGACTTCTTCTTTTATAGATGTTCCAATTTTTTCAATTTCAAACACATACAGATTTATAAAGTCTGAATTACACGCGTCTAGTCTAGATCCATCACTGATTACTCGAACGATACAATAGTAATATCATAACAGATATACTTACGGACAATTGATATATAGTAAGATTCAGATATAAAAGACAGAGAACCTAGGAGTGACCCTCAAATGCTGCATTTCAATTTTTAGTAATTTGATCCTTTAGATCAAGCAACTTGATATTTATATCAGCATTTCCAATTGAAAGATGGATCAAGGAAAAGATTAATTTAGATTGTTATCAGGTCATGTCAAACAGAAAGGTCCTTAACTGAATTAAAAAAGGAGAATTAAGCTTGAGAAAAGAAAAAAAAGAAGAGGGGCTCATAGAAAGTAGTTAAAGATTGCATTTTGACAAGATGATTTCAATCCTTATAAGGATCTGTAAATTGTCCCTTCTAATTTTAATAGTAATATTGTGTGAGGGGAGCCTTGCCAGGTAAAGTTGTTCGAGCTGTTGTGGTAATAGCCTCTTGCAGGAATGCAAGATTCAGGAGTAGTTATATATGCAGTTGGAACTATCATGGTTTCTCATTTTGGTAAAATTAGATGTACAGAAAATTCCAACTATTTGAACTAGAAAGAATATTGGTTGCAAGTACTAGAAAAGCTAATGCATGGAATTTCCGTACTGATACTGAGATTTGGTTTGGGCAGCTGGAACTTTGAACTCAGATGAGGCAAGGGACTTCAGTTTGCCATTGAAGAATAGGTTTTACCTTCAACCATTGACTCCAGCTGAGGCAGTCCAGAGAGTTAAGGATTCAGCTAAGGAGATTGTTAGCGTCAAGAATTTCATCGACAAGAAGGCCTGGCCTTACGTCCAGAATGACCTTCGTCTCAGAGCAGAATATCTTCGCTATGACCTTAAGACTGTCATCTCTGCTAAGCCAAAAGAACAGAAGGGAAAACTCCAGGACCTGTCTGGAAAGCTCTTTAAGACCATTAGTGATGTAAGTCAAATGCCTAAATTCTTGGTTAATAACATGAATGACATAGTAATTGGATGGGTTGCTTATGATTTCGCTTTCTTCTGACAAACCATTTTTAATTTTCTTTCCTCAGCTGGACCATGCAGCAAAGACCAAGAACAGCGATGAAGCACAGAAGTACTATGCTGAAACTGTAACTACCTTAAATGATGTTTTGGCCAACCTTGGCTAGAAATCTTTTCTGTACTATGTTATTACTTCCTGTAAGTTAACGAATACTTCTTGAATCAATTGTGAAGAATGATTTTGGAAGAATGTTTAAAATCTGAAACAACTAAGCGCTGCATCTGATTGGGAATTTCACTTGATTGAGGCCTGGAAACAATAAACATGGTTGCACCATTCCACATTACTCAATGTTACACTAATCTTTAATTTGCTTCCCATAAAAAATCTACCTCAGTTATGAAGTTTCACTACGTCTTCTGTCTTAAGTCCTTCCGGCTTGCAACACCAGAGAAACATGAACAAATGGATTGGTTTAAACCGAACTTCACAAATGTACATAGCCTTACTGCAGACTCAAATTTAAGTACTTGAATGTTAAGCAGAGTATTAGTATGCAGAGGGATAGATGAGTAACAGCAAGGATGCTAATAGGAAAAGAAGCGGTGAAATCATATTGCAATTAGACCCCAAAGTAGTTGCAAAAAATACATTGAATACTGAACTAGTAAAAGTAGGAGTCAGACCAGCAATGCTTTAATACATTCTTTCTTCTTTTGGGAAAACAACGCAACTCACATTACTGTTTGCCTATGACATATTATGAACATAAAATTACATTAGAGTCGAGAAAAAGTTACAAATAACATAAAATTCAAGAAATGTTACATGAAATATTAGGAATTTTTAAAAGGGAGATATGGGACTCGGTTATGATGAGTTCTCCATACATATTTTTCTTTCATTTCTCTCGTATAGAGCACTGAGTTGATCTAATTCTGTTAGCAAAGGCTGCATATATTGGAAGAGAGTAATTTTTTTTTTTGTATTCATGCATGACCTCCTTGTTGATTCAGCTTCTTATCTTCCTGGATGGTGGCTGTAGCAGAGATGTAGTAGGAAACTGAGAAAAGTCCATGGATAAAGCACAATATCCCTCCTATTGACAAGAAACGATGGTGTGATATGCCACAAGATCTTCTTGCCTTCCCGTTTGACAATGTTCCAGCTACCAGCAATGAGAATGCAATGGCCATAATGATCCTAGTATCAGAACAATTTCTTTTTAAATCTACAACCATGAATAAGATAAGTAATACATAAACAAAGTGCACGATTTAATGAGTACCACAACATTCATTGTCCTCATAAATAAATCTGTCCATGCTATCACTAGGGGATATAATGTGATGGTTAGAATCTTTGAACCATTAATCAGAGGTCTTAGGTTCGAGCTCTTTCTGCAAATGGAGAACCTTTTGACAAAGAGTGTTTTACCCCTTCGTGGTTCTACCCAGCGCAAATCTAAATAAGTCGGAATGGGAGATGAGGGGGGAGTTTGGAAATTACCATTGGAATACAAATGAAGCAAAAGCAAGTTGCTTGTTAGAAGAGGCCTTATCCAGCTCTTCCTTGGACTGGACGCAAATACAACCAGCAAGCAGATTAGAAATAACTTGTGCCAGAACCAAAAGTACTGTTGCAGCCAATCCTAGCTTAAAAGCTTCATAGCTTGGATCTCTACATTCAAAGATCCACACCTTTAAGTCTTGAACCTATTCCAATAAATCAAGCCTAATTGTGTTAATTGCCACAAAATATAATTAAGTAGATAAAAGTGTACCCTCGCTATACTTAAGTATTTTAGACGAGATAACCACACATTTAACATAGCATAAGAGCAGAAAAAGGTTCTGGGTTCAAGTCTCACTACTACCCGCTATCAAAAAAAGATTCCACATACTTGCCCATGAATAACAAATCAGGTAGGCACCTGAAGGAGCGTGTTAAGAATGTAACATTTTTTTAGATGAAACGACCACACATTTAAACATTTTATACTAATCAAATTTCCGAAAGAACTATCATTTACCTTATTTTGTTCTACCTCAGCTTGAATACCTAGTATACCAGCAGCAACATCCAAAATCACAAGAAGAAGACAAACAAGAATGCCAATGTTTTTAGCCATCTTTGATAATCTCGTTGATTAATTAATTTCAGATTAGAGATGGCTGATAATCTTCATGGAAAAACAGGGGATACCCTTATATACAAACATAGAGAATGCATGAAAGCAGCAAAAAAAATGGAGTCCAACGTGAGAATCTGAATAAAGGAATGGATGCAAGAAACCTAATACTTAATGTTGTATATGATATATGAGTAAGATTAGCTGGAGCCTATGGAGAAAAAGTCTTCCTTTGTCTTGAAAGACCTCTTTATTCTACTTTACTTTGTTTTTTTTTTCTCTCTTTAGATTTCGATTCCTTTCATAGGGAACAAGGAAAGCAGGGTATCCCCAGCTCAAAATTTTTGTTATTCTCTTAATTTGTTAAAGCCATATATATTCACTTGCATGTTACTGCAGCTTTCATCCTCTCTCTCTCTCTCTCTCTATATATATATATATATATATATATATATTAATTGTTAGTACGTATTAAGATGATTTGTGTCTTTAACTGAGAAGTATGCATAAATGGATTCTTTCAAATGGTTAAGTGTTTGCCTTGAGATCATGCTGATGCCACATATCATATACTTCTTTGTTCAATTTACGTGACACTCTTTTATTTCTAATTTTTTCAAATAAGACATAAAACTAAAAGCACATTTATAAAGATTCAACCTTGGACCTTTCTTAAAAGTAGACCTTACAAAATGGACTTCCTACTAGGGAAAATTACACGATTAAGCAAATTTATACTACTTAATTACTCATCATAACTATAGTTTGTTATAATTACCACTCGCGACTAACATTAACCATTAATTATGTCGGCTGACTCTGAGTTTATATAATTAGCCACGTTTGTATATGTATAATTCACAACTAATAATTCTTTGTTTGCTTTGTATTTGTATATGACGATAATTTCCTTTGGTTTTTCAGTTTTGTCATCATATACATTCAATCTTTTTGTGTATAACTTTTAAAGTTTGTATAAACGTGTAGTTTTCGAATTTTGTATAATATAATTTATATAATGTAATTTGTATAATATATTTTGTATAATTGTTTAAAGTTCATATGTTTATGTTTGTATCAATTCGTTATTTCTAGTTTTATTATATTTGTATAATTCCAGATTTTATATTACTTAATTATACAAAAACATATGAATTATACAAACGTACCTGTGAATTATACAAACGAGATGTGAATTATACAAATTATTATCCTCTCTCTCTTGCCTCTCGCCTCCCTCTTCCAATCTTGCTCGCCTCTCTCCTCCCTCTCCCAATCTCTCTCGCTAGAATATACAAATATATATGTGTAATATACAATTATCTAACCGATATACATATATCATTCACCTCTCTCTCACTCTCTGCCCTTTCCCAGTCTCGCTCGCCACTATCCTCCCAATAACATGTAGCTACGAATCGTAATTAACAAATTATAGCTATGGAGTGTATAGGCTATTTTTTAGTGGCTATGTACGAAAGTTCCTCTTTCTACTATTTGAAAGTGAAGAAACACCTTGCAGCTTTTTGTGAAAATCATTAAAGCCCAGCCCAAACAGAAAATAAACAATTATACTGGACTCCACACGAAGGTATCCAGTTCAGTTAATAGCTTTGGGCTGATTACTTCTGCTCCTCCACATTCAAATAACAGCCCATCTCAGAATTGTTAGTCTACGTTTCAATTTATATACTCACTCTGTTTGAAAAAAAATGACTTTCTTTCTTTTTTAATTTGTTTCAAAAAGAATGATCCTTTTCCTTTTTAGGTAACATTTTAATTTCAGCTTTCCACGTGACATGTTTAAGGCCACAAGATTAAATGACAATTTTGTACATTTGACATAACTTTAATTTAGGACCACAAGATTCAAAAGCCTTCTTTATTTTCTTAAATTCCGTGTCAAGTCAAACTAGGTCACTCTTTTTGAAATGGAGGGAGTAATATTATTTTTAAAAAATAGTGTTCCTTCCGTTTCAAAAAGAATGACCTAGTTTGACTTGGAACGGAGTTTAAGAAAAGAAAGAAGATTTTTTAATTTTATGGTTCTAAATTAAAGTTATGTCGAATATACTAAAATGTTTTTTAATCTTGTGGCCTTAAACATGTCACAGAGAAAGTTGAAGTTAAAGTGTTGCCAAAAAAGTAAAGGGGTCATTCTTTTTTAACTGACAAAAAATGAAATTAGACCATTCTTTTTTAAATCGAGGGAGTATTATGTATGTTGATAGAATAATTACTATAATTTATTTGAAAGTCATAAATTTCATTTTTTAAATTTATCTTTAAGTAAGAAGATAAACTGTCATTTACATTAGTGTTATTAAATATCAAGAGTCTCTGTCACAAAAATCTAGAAATCCTACGTGTCAAAAAGGAACAAACTAGAAAACTCTTTTTCTGTATCTGTCCATAAACTGAAAAGGCTAGTGTTGGTTCTAGAAACCGCTGAAAGCTTCTTCAAATCATAATAATCGAAATTCAAATGAACACAAAAAAATTTCAAGTCTTCCCAAACAAAATTGATAAATCATTCTTCTGAGCATTTGTATCCCTCTCCCTTCTCTCTCTCTCTCTCTCTCTCTCTCTCTGTGAAGGAGGAGGCAAAAAATGGCAGCGTACAGGTGGAAGAGTTTCAACGATGATGGAGATCGTCCAGAGAAACCTCGTCGCTATGGCGTTACAGAAATGAAGGGTCCCAACTATTCCCTTTTCTCGAGAGGCCTTCTTGAGGTAATTGCTTTAAGCTTGATCTATTGAATGTTGTTAATGTATTCCTAGTTTATTTTGATGGTCATTTAAGGGATAAATTCATGACTGCATATGATATGCCTTGGAATTCAAAATTCTGAGTGCTACTAGCTGTAGAGGATAATTTGCATAATCAATTGGGGGAGGGCACACGGGTAGTAAACACAATCGAAATTGATATAAGTAAATTGAGAGAAAGAGAGAGGTTGCGCGATTTTAGTATTCAGGATTCGTGTTCTCAAAACTTCCTTGAGATAGAAAATTACAAAATTCTGTCTAAAACGAAAGCTTAAAGGGGAGTATAAAATATCTAAGTGAGCTGTATAGCCGTTTCCGAGAGTAACTTGATAGCAGATTGCTAAAATGACTTTGTGTACAGAATTCTGTGCTAGTTTATGTTCTTATGGTTCAAATTTGTTGAATTTCTCATTTTCTTGGTTCATAGGATGTTTTTGAGTCTATGGGTCAGTTTGTTGATGGGCTAAAACTATGTGATGGATCCCATACTGTGATGCCAAAGAATTACATCAAAGAAGTGACTGACATGGCACATAAACACAATGTTTATGTTAACTCTGGTGATTGGGCAGATCAAATGCTTCGCCGAGGTCCTTCTTCTCTTAAAGAATATATTGAGGTATAAAGTAGTTAATATGGCTTAAGTGTTTCCTTTCTGATTGATTTTTTAATCTTAGTAATAACCTGTTACTTGTTGTAATCTCTTAGGAATGTAAGCAATTGGGGTTTGATTCAATTGAGCTTGATGTTGCATCACTTGGTCTACCTGAGGAGACCCTCTTGAGATATGTGAGGCTGATTAAGAGCAGTGGGCTCAGAGCTAAGCCTCAGTTCTCTGTTAAGTTTAACAAGTCTGATATAGCCTTCGCCGGTGACAGAGCTTTTGGGGCTTACGTGATTCCGGCACCTCAAACCTCTGGTATGCTAGTACTTCTGGTTTAAATTTATTTTTGCTCTTTTCTCTTTTACATTTTCTTAGAGAGCGGTAATGTCACCACTGTAAGCTATATCTGTAGATTCCTTTTTTTAGACTAGAAAGTGTCTGCTTGATAAAGTTGAAAAAAAGAGAGACTAATGTGATAGATAGATAATAGATGAAAAAATAAAACAGTGGATGCATCAGGAGATGTGTTCATCAACAGAACAGTAATTTCTTAAGATCATTTGTCTAAATTTCCAGACAGATATTTCCTGAAATGATATTTGTAGAGTACTAGAGGAAAAAAAATTCAGTTCATTCATACCTCTCTCTGTAGAAACACAATTGAGTCCACATACATTGTAGAGGAAGTTGCGTATGAGCACCTTAACACTAATGACCCCAGCTAAAGTTGCAAGTATTTAGTTATATGGCTGCATTTCTGTAACTAGGATATCTTCATCAATAACTGTTTCGAATCTCATGAAACTTTGGATAGTAGGTATTTAAAAATTGGTGCAACCTATGTTGCACAGTGTTTAGGTGTCAAAATTGCTACAACTTGAAAATTAGGATATTGCCGTGGCAAATCAAATTGACCCTTCACAGACAGCTGATATATGCTAGTATTTTCGATCCAATTGGGCCACTCTCCTGACTGTCATTTCAACTCTAGTGGCTACTAGTATCCCTCTTTTCTCGTTTTACAGAGATCTATAGCTTCCTTTTGCTGCAAAGAATTATCTTATTGACCAATCCATTGTAGATCCCAGACAACATGGTAGGACCTCGAGATAGTCAATCTGGATAGCAGGTTTTAACCATTGTCTTACATGGAAGAGCGTCATGTACCATCTCATCTGCTTTATAGACAAGACTAAACTAATTGTTACAAGGATGGGTAAAGTTCACAAATGATAAGCCGGAAAGTATATGGTTTTGCTGTGTAGGAAATTCAACCCCACTTGCGCCACAGCACAGGCAAACTGAAAGAGGGATAGGAGGTGGGAGGAGGGAGTTTGAGGCTTTTTTCCATGTAAATAAAAATATTTTCATTGCTAATTACCCCAAAAAAAAATCATTGCTGAGCTTTACCTTCTGTGCTTCTCATTGGATAAGACATCGCGATTCAAAGGACTTGAGGGAAGTTCACAGCTTAATTGCCATTCTCATTGTACTTGTGATACCTCATTTTCCTAATGGAGGAAATATGTCCTTGCAGTCTAGTAATCTTGTAGTTGCTCTTGACAGCTTGATAATCTTTCTCTGACTGTTGAAGTTCTTCATGTACCTCTTTCTATTTTGCTAAGAATATTTGTATTCTGCAAAATGGAAACTAGTGTCTTATAAGACTCATGCCTTTAAGAATATTTTATTATGAAGCTTGGGATATGAGATGATGCTTTGTGCCCTTCTATTTAGATGCTTCTGTTGTTTAACTGCGATGAGTTTGTGATCTGCTGCCTAACCTAGGACCTATGTTGCCAAGGATATATCACTT